AAATACTAAGTCTTCTACAGACACCGATAGTGGGTATACTCCTTTGGAAAGTCATGTAGTACTTAAATCTGTAGAAAACTAGTTGCAAAGATGTGACCTCTCTTTCCCAGGGCCAGTAGGGCTCACTCATTCATTCACTTAAAATTTTTTTCCTGAGCACTTATTATATGCCGAATGATGAGGATTATAAAGTAGTTTCTGACTTTTTAACAGTTTTTCTAGAATGTGTGGAATACAACACAGTTCTGCATTCTGCTTGATAGTCTGGATAATACCTCATGACAGTAATCCAGCACAGTTTTCTTCCCATGAGTGTTACAGGCATTTTTGTGTGTGTCTGGGTGAAGCCGGGAAAAAAAAAAAATGAAAGGGATTTGATTTGTTGAGGTGGTGGGAGGGAAGTAGGGGGGAAGTTATGTTTTGTTTTTTCCATGTTGACTGCCTTTTTCATCTGTGTACTTAAAAAAAAATTATGAACAGAAATTATTTACCTTGGCCTCACTCCTTGAGTCACCATTAAGGACTTGTAGACATCTAACCTTTGAAGAAGGGGCATGGGGCTTAGCTACCTTTAGATAACAGAAGTGTTTGCTTGTGGCTTAATTTGATGTAACTTTTGTTATTAATTGCTTTCTACCAAAAAAAAAAAAAACCAAACTCACTGCCATTGAGTTGGATCCGACCCATAGTGACCCCTCTTTGGGTTTCCGAGGCAGTATCTCTACAGAAGTAGATTGCCCAGCCTTCCTTCTAAGGAGTGGCTAGTGGGTTTGAACCACCAGCCTTCTGGTTAGCAGTCAAGTGCCTTAGGCATTATGCTACCAGAGCTCCTAGTTGCCTTCTAGTAGGTCCCAATTCATGGAGACTCCATGCATAATGGAATGAGTGCTGCTTAGTTCTCCACATTGGACCATTGTGACCCACAATCTTCATTGGCTGATGCTTGGAAGGAGATCACAAGGGCTTCTTAGTCTGGAAGCTCTGCGGAAAACTTGTTTAGCAGCATAGCAAACATGCAGACTTCCACTGACAGATGGGCGGTGGCTGTATATGAGGTGCATTGTTGGGAATCGAACTGGGGTGTCTCATATAGAAGATGAGAATTCTACAACTGAACTACCACTGGCATCTCTTTAGAGATGTGATTCTCAAAGGGTGGTCCCTGAGGTGGGGCCTGAGATTCTGCATTTCCAACAAGCTCCCAGGTAATGTGGACACTTTTGGCCCATAGTCCTCACAATAGTAACTAGCTTGTAGAAGGCAGAATGTGATAGGAAGGTATGGGCTGAAGTAGCATATTTTTAAAAACACATGTTTGGATACAACCATACAATAAGATACCATAGTGCTGTTAAAAAGGAATGAACTTGCTCTATGAGCATCACCATGGAAAAATCTCCACAAATATTGTTAAGTTAAAAAAGTAGATTTGGAAAATATCTTTTGATAAATTTGCTTCCATTAAAGCCAGGAGAATAAATTTATAATAAATTCTGTTTTGGTGGAAATAAAGAATATGAGTTTTAATATACCTGCTTTACAATTTTTCAAGTACTCAAATATTCTTAGGGAGAAATAACCATTAAAAAATACATAAAAACACCTACCTACAGATGCACACTTTTCTTTTTGCCTCAAGGTCTTGACATGGCACTGTTGGATCCTGTCATTATTTTAAATTTTTTTGTTTTGTTCATACTGAATTTTTTTTGCATTGATTTTTATTTTTAAAATGTTGCATTAAAATATTTTCTATCTTGATTGCTAAGTTTTTGGTGCCCCCTTAAATTTTGTAGGAACTCTGGTAGTATAGTGGTTAGCTCATTTGGCATGTGTACGTGTATAGTAGTAGAAAACTTGAATAATTTGCAAAAAACTATTGACAGTGGGACTAGGAATGGGAGATGTATGGGTAGAAAAGGGATATTTTCTTTCTCACCTTAAAGTCTGTTTTTTACTGTTTCATTTTATACTCTTATGGTGTATATTTTTTTAGATTTAAACAACTATTTTTTTAATGTAAAAATAAAAATGTATCTTTTTAGTCCCAGGTTTTTAGTCCAAAACCTGTTGTTATTAGGTGCCACCAAGTTGGTTCCAACTCACAGTGACCCTGTATACAACAGAACGAAACGCTGCCTGGTCCTGCACCACCCTCCCAATCCTTGCTATACTTGAGCCCATCGTTCCAGCCACCGTGTCAATCCATCTCATTGAGGATCCTCCTCTTTTTTGCTGACCTAATTTACTAAGAAGGGACTGGTCCCTTCTGACAACATGACCAAAGTATGTGAGACTAAATCTGGCCATTCTCACCCCCAAGGAGCATTCCATCTGTACCTCTTCCAAGACAGATTTGTTCATTCTTCTGGCAGTCCATGGTATTTTCAGTATTCTTCACTGACACCACAATTTAAATGCATCAGTTCTTCTGCAGTCTTATTCATTGTCCTTCTTTCACATGCATATGAGGTGACTGAAAATACCATGACTTGGGTCAAGTGCATCTTAGTCTTCAAAGTGACATCTTTGCTCCTTAACACTTTAAAGAGGTCTTTTACAGCAGATTTGCCCACTGCAATGCGCTGTTTGATCTACTGACTGCTGCTTCCATGGGTGATGATTGTGGATCCAAGTAAAATGAAATCCTTGACAACTTCAATCTTTTCTCCATTTATCTTCATGTTGCATATTGGTCCAGTTGTGAGGGTTTTTGTTTTCTTTATGTTGAGGTGTAATCCATGCTGGAGACCGTAGTATTTGATCTACATTGGTAAGTGCTTAAAATCTTCTTCACTTTCAGCAGGCAATGCTGTGTTATCTGCATATTGCAAGTTGTCGATGAGTCTTCCTGAAATCTTGATGCGGCATTCTTCTTCATATAGTCCAGCTTCTTGGATTATTTGCTCACCACACAGATTGAATAAGTATGGTGAAAGGATACAACCCTGATGTACACCTTTCCTGATTCAAACCATGCAGACCTAGTCTGGGTACCCCCAGACCTAGTATCCAGGGATCTGTACAGGGCTTATGGGGTTCCTTTGGGCTGTGAGCCTCATGTCCTCTCAGTTCTGAGATGGTCTGGTAGATCCCCCCAGCTTCAGGTTCCCCCTGCACAACATTCATTGTCTCTAGAGTTTCTATGCTTCTATGCCACCGGACCTTCCTTTAGAGCCTACGTTAGACATTACTATGATTATTTCTTTAGTTTACTAATTTCCTTGCAGTGTTTAGTATAGCAGGTTGCCCACAACAGATGCTCAATAAGATTTGCTGACATGCTGTAGCTGGCATCTCTTTAGAATCTGTCCTGTGAGGCTTAAAGCTTAGCATGTTTCTTTCGGCCATGGGCCCCAACTTCTGCTTGATTGTGACGCTCTGGTCAAAGGCCATCAGGAGGGATGACCTTGGGCAGTGAAAGGTACTGATTTGGGTGTAGATTATTGTCTCTGCTGGGCCACTAGTTTACCTGACCCCAGGTAAGCCCAGAACCAGAATCTTGCAACCCTAGTGGTGCCTCCCTAAAGTAAGTTCAAACATTAGAGTATCAAGGGGTGTTTGTTAAAAATATAGGTTCTTGATCTTAACTCCAGACCCAAAGAGTCTTTCTCCCTCACTGCCTTCAAGTCGGATCCCACTCATGACAAACCCTCCTTGGGTTTCTGAGGCAGTATCACTATGCCTTCCTTCCAAGGAGTGGCTGGTGGGTTTGAACTGCCAGCCTTCTGGTCAGCAGTCAAATGCCTTAGGCACTATGCCACCAGAGCTTTCCAAAGAATCTTAGGAGAGAGTAATTAAAATATTAATAAAGTATTGAGGTGATTCTGAGGCTCCAGCAAATTTGTAAAACATTGTTCAAGTTCATTGAGAATAATCAATCCCATCCCCCATAGTCTACACTTATATTTCTTTATCTGCTCTTCTGACTGCACAATGTTACGACATTTCAGTGATGGATATAAAAATGACTGTGCTTTGATAAGACTGAGCTCTCTGCTATATACTGTGCACGTGAACTATCCATTTAAAAGGAAGCCTCACTAGGAATAAGCCAGTTGCCGTTGAATTGACTCCAGCTCATAGTCACCAACGTGTGTTGGAGTAGAGCTGTGCTCCATAGGGATTTCTGAGCATGTTAACCATTTGCACCATTCAGAGACTCCTCTACTAATATTAATATTCTAAAGTCAGTATAATATATAGTTTGGAGATGTTTGCATAGCTGTGGCAGATGCTGCCAGTGCCCCATCCATGCCCTCAGTGCCCCATCCATGCCTTTACCCTTACATTTCCAGGCACACCCATCCAAGATGAACTACCCACTTATGTAACTCTGCCTAAGGGACTTCCTGCTTGAGCCCACTCTGTCTATGCAAGGCCAGAAGTCCTGGGGAGGGAGACTCAATGCCACCCAGGAGCAGCCCTCAAACAATGACTGTTGGATCTGGTGGACAAATACCCAGCTTTTGAGGGGCACCGTAACTTTGATGTTTGTTTCCTACATTGTCTCCCAAGGTTACCCAGCAGTAATAACTGTAGTAACTGGCTTGATAACATCAAGTTATCTATGTTGGCTGCCTTCCCATCCTTGTCTTACTTCTTCATTCCCCTACAGTTAAGTACGGGTATCACCAAATAAACTATTAGAGTGGAATCTTTATCTCAGGATTTGTTTCCAGGAAAACACAAACTAAAATAAAAAACAATTTTATTTTGCCCACTATGAAATTAAGACACTAAGGCATAAAAGTGGAAAGGATAAAAATCTTCCTTCCAGATCTAGGCAGCCTTTATTTATTTATTCATTGACAATAATTTGTGTTATATTTGCTCATATGAAATTTTATGCTCCTTTGTAGACAATGTTGTCTTTTGCTGTACTCATTTTCCTCATGTTGTCATGGGTCCTGGGTCATAAGGAGTTTTAGTGGTTTCATAATTGGAAGCTCTAGCTTGGCTGTGACCAACCAGTAATGTGTCTACCCTCATCCTTGCAGGCATCCGCCCTTACAAATGTGATGTTTGCAACAAAGCCTTCACTCAGCGGTGTTCCCTTGAGTCCCACCTGAAGAAGATTCACGGAGTACAGCAGCAGTATGCCTACAAGCAACGCCGGGACAAGCTCTATGTCTGTGAGGACTGCGGATACACGGGCCCCACCCAGGAGGACCTGTACCTGCACGTGAATAGTGCTCATCCAGGCAGCACACTTCTCAAAAAGACATCCAAAAAACTAGCAGCTATTTTGCAGAACAAGCTGACGTCCACACTGCAGAGGAATGACAACCTGAATGAGAAGAAGTGAGGAGAAGGAAGGGCAAGAGGGACACCAGTGCTGCTGAGTTTACATGGTGTTTTGGTTTTGTGGGTCCCCTGCCCCACTGCCTCTTTTTAACTGTAAGTGTTCAGTTTATCTCTCTGTCCTTTTGAGACCTCACCGGGAGACCCCCCTCCAAGGTCGTTAGTTATAATAGTGGTGTCAGGCACTGTAATATGTGTCCTGGTGAGCACAGTTGCTTTGATAAACATTTGTTTTCCACACTTTGATGGCCATGATCACCGTGCAGGCTTTTTTTTTTTTAAGGACTTTTACACGTAGAAGCAGAGTTGTCCCTAGAGAGACTGTCATTTTATGGTGCCTTGAAATAAAGGTGCTTCCACTTGAAATGTAACTCAAGCAAAGAACATGAATTTTATTATTCTGAAAGAGTTTACAGAAATTATTTTAATAAATGAAATGTTCTTGTGAAACTTTTCTTCAAAAACAAGAGCCCTGTTAGGGTTGATTGTGTGATGTTTGACTTCAGGTATTTGGAGGTTTATTTTATATTAGTTGGGTGGCTTTGAAGAGGCATATTTCCAGCATTGGGTAGAGCAAATAAGAAAATAGAACAGGAAGAGAGTAAGAGGAAACCTTGAACTTACAGGTTCATACTGTGTAATGAAAATATGCTTAATACTAATACGTCCTCTTGTGATTTAATTGAATAATAACAGTGTTTCTCTAATGATTCAGACAAAATCCATCATGCTTGGGAAAAAAAAAGAAAATAGCACAAGAATGGATACAGGCTAATGGGCAGAGATGCCTTGGGTCAGCTTGGTGGACTCTTCAAATAAAAGCTAGTAAATTATCAACTCTGGTTCCTTTTTATGGCCTTGGAGTTCCTGTAGAATGCCTTGGCTTGTTGGATCCTTGCTGGCTGAAAACACTTCTTCCTTGAGCTGGCACTGGGTAAAATATGTGACAGATACCTGAGTGAAAAGAATGCTCATTTACATACAAAGGGCTCTTGAAGGATGGACAATAGTTTCAGGGGTTCCCTTCATGTGGTATGATAGCCAAATGTGGTAACCTTTGGCCACCTGAATCTCTTCATCTTAGAGGCCTCTCCCCAGAGGCACAGAAAGTTGACAATAAAGCCTGACTTGAGACCAACATAGGGCAAAGGGTTGTTGTTGTTGTTGTTATGTGCCGTCGAGTCAAACCTGACTCATAGCGACCCCTCCTTGGGTTTCCGAGGCAGTATCACTACGGAAGTAGGATTGCCCAACCTTCCTTCCGAGGAGTGGCTGGTGGGTTTGAACCGCCAGCCGTCTGGTTAGCAGGCAAGTGTCTTAGCCACTATGCTAGGGCAAAGGGTAGGGGAGATGATTTCCATGGTACTTCCCTGACTGCAGGGGCAGTAGGAAGGGCCCAGAACCCTCAGGAAGACACCATTGTCAACAGAGGAACTTACCTCAGTTCAGAAGCTGCGAACTGAGCCAGTGGACATGCTAGTCAACTCCACCGCTTGTTCTTTGCTGCTTGCTCTTTTTCCCCCTTTGCTGCTTGCTCTTTTGCCCCAGGCCTGCCTGGTCTGATTGCTGGGTTCATTTCCACCCTGGAAGATCAAGGGAATCCTGCCTGGGGGCTGGCCTCCTCCTTTGTCTGGGAAAATGTATTGTCTTCCTTTCCTCCCTTCCTCCTTTCCTTTTCTGTTCTTCCCCTCTTCCCTTCCTGTTCCGCCCTCCTTTCCTTCTCTCCACAGTCTCTCTCCTCCTTTCCTACATTGCAGGCCAGACACTGTGCCAAAAATGGACTGTGTAATCAAATCTACATAGCAAAACATTTGCCATTTCAACCCCAATCTGGATATTTTAAGTGGTATGTCTTTGAACTTGAGTTAACGTTTCTCTTTTCTGAATTAACGATTTTCTTTTGGAAGAAAACACACATTTCTCTCCAGTACCTACAATGTGCCAGGTGCCGGACCAGCCACCCTTTGCTGGACAGATGTTCTCTGGAGAACTCTTCAGAACATTCCTGGGCATCAGCATCACGGTTCCCATTGGGCAGATAAGGTAACTCCAAAGCAGAAACTGGTGGTCAGAGGAAGAAGCCAGGAGGAATCCCAAAGTCTGGTCTAAGCCTCTCTATCTTCCTCATTCCACCTTCCCTTCAGAAAGGAAAGAACAATCTGCCAGGGTGGTTTTGGACTATACTAGAGATAAGATAAGACTAGGGCGGGCTCTGTAGGCCCTTCCCATGATAGCATCCCTGAGGTGAAGGCTCAAGGCCACTCTGGCCACTTCCGGTGCTTGGGTAAGGCCAAAGCACACAGGATCTGAATGGCCACAACCAGGGATCAGTAGCAACAAGGGTGGGACAGAGGCTTTGGCTATAGGGTGGAGACATTGTGGCAGCAGATAGCCATCACTCCTCTCAGCCCTGCCTTTGGCTGGCAAATTACATTGTATTGTCTCTCCTAGCACTTGATAGAGGAGAGAGAGGCTACAAGGCAGCTGACTTGTAGGTTATCTGGGTAATTTAGACAATAAAAATGATCAGTGTTTGGCCCAGGGAATTATAAACCAGCTGACATTATTTTTTAGAGTCAAACTTTTATTATAGAATTCTGGGTTGCAAGTGACAGGAACTCAGTTGAAAATGCCTTGGGCAGAAAAGGGAATATATTAGCTAAAAAGTCTAGAGTTGAACCAGCTTCAGGTATGCCCAGACCTGGGTGCTTAAATAATGTCATTGATATCCCTCATCTTTCTCTTCTAGCTCAATTTACCCCCTCTTCCCCAGGTGTCTTTTTTCTTAGGCAGGCTAGTGTGGAGGCAAGATGGCCACCCACAGTTTGGGACTTAATCACACTGTGTAGCTACCCAGCAAAGGATTTGACTTTCAACCAGATATTTTGGGCTGATATTCATGGTCTCTGATTGGTCTGATTTGGTTCCCAGGCCCACCCTTGAACCAATCACAGTGCTGTGGGAGATGATGATATTGTGTTTGCTTAGCTCAGGTGTGAGTCACCTGCTCTTGCCCTGAGTTGAGTTGAGGGTAAGAGGGAGGTGAAGGCAATAGGTCAGATACATCCCTGACCTGGGAGTGGAGGAAGGTGGCTCCCCAGTAGAAATTTAGGGCACTGTGACCAGAAGAGAAAATGGAGGCTAGGCATGTATACTAGTCAAGATAAGGTACAGCTTCTGTAACAAGAAATTCCCAATATATTCTGCAGTTTAAAGAAGAGAGAAATTTATTTCTCATATAGTAGTGCCAAAAAAAACCAAACCAAACTCACTGCCATCAAATCGGATCTGACTTATAGCAACCCTCCTTGGGTTTCTGAGGTGGTATCACTACAGAAGTAGATTGCCCCATCTTCCTTCTGAGGAGTGGCTGGTGGGTTTGAACTACCAGCCTTCAGGTTACCAATCAAATGCATTTCAGGGACCTATTCCCTATATTGCTCTGTCATGCTTTAGAGCATGGTTGAAAATGGATCTCAGAGGTTTTCAGCGGATACAGAAGCAGATCCTGATGCAAGTTCAAGTAGATTGCTGAGGATATGAGTCCAAGAAGCATGTGTAGGGGATAGGGAGCTGTGACAGAAAAAAGGAAGCCATCCAGTAAAGGGAATACGATCAAGGAAGTTTATTGCTGTGGACAATTGGAGCTTAATCCCACTGGGGACCTCTAGGAGACTGTATAGAATATGCCTTGATGACCCAGCAGAGGGGCACAGGAAACTATCTACTGACTGCCCATCCATCACTGGTTGAGGGCTACTGGGCTTGGGGAAATTTACTTCCAGGCCCTTATAGCTTGCCCTGAACTCTGGTCAAGCATGCTTCTGGTGTAGGAAAAACACCTCAGACAGAGAGACAACGACAGCCATAGCAGTCTTAAACACAGAGTGTACACTGGGGAACCTGAGTGGGCAACACCATGTTTGCTATAAGTTTGGAAAGGCCACACACACCCTCTACCTGAAGCGTCTGGCTTGGACATGGCTTATACCTCCTTCACCCACACTCCAGGTGAATATTTAGCCATAATAACTGGAAGGCTGGAAAATGTAGCCTTCTTGCCACATGTTTTTGTAGGAAAGAATAGAAGAATGGATTATGGTGAATGCCTTTGTTTGCTACTCACCACCACCCACCCACTGCCATCTGACTCATAGTGACCCTATAGGATAGAGTAGAACTGCCCCTATAGAGTTTCCAAGGCTGTAAATCTTTGCAGAAACAGACTGCTTCATCATTCTCCTACAGAGTGGCTGGTGAATTCGAACCACCAACCTTTTGGTTAGCAGCCAAATGTGTTAACCACTATACCACGAGAGCTCATTCTTTTGGCTATTGCTCTAATAACAGAAATACCATAGGTGGGTGTCTTTAAAGAACAGAATTTTATTTTCTCGGGGTTTTTAAGTCCAAATTCAGAGCATCAACAGAGCTATGCTATCTCCAAGTCACTTCTAGGGGAAGATCCTCCCTTGTCTCTCTCAGCTTCTGTAGACCTGTGCATTTCTTGGTGTTCCTTGCCTTGTAGATGGGTCCATTATTCTCTGTGTGTGTCTGTGTCTAATCTGCTGTCTTTATAAGAGGCACCACTCAGGATGATTAGGTTTATGTCCCATTCTACTCTGGTATGATCTCATTAACTTAACAAAAGAAAATCCCTGTTTCCAAACACCATATCATATTTACAGTTACAGGGTTAGGACTTCCACATAACTTTTGGAAGACAATTCAATCTATAATAATGACCAATTCTCAGTCTTTGCCATGGCAAGCAAAACCAACTGACATCCACCTTAGCCTTTTTGAGCCCCTCTTGCTTCCAGCCATGTTCTTCTGCCCTGCTTTCAGTCAACTGCCAGGAAATCTAGCTAAAATGCCTAAGATTGTGATTTAGGACATTAGTTCTCAGGCTGGGAGCCTTGGAACCTTACATCTGCAGGTAGTGGAGTTGGAACTGTTGTCAATATTTTATATTCCTTCTTGGAAGTCATAGATTAGCCTGTACTAAGTCCATA